CTTGTTTACGGTGTTGTTGAACCAGATTATGCACCTCCATCAGAAATCGATAGACCTCCATCGGAAATCGACGGTGGTATCTCGACAGCTGCGGTGGTTGGTATAGTGGTGGCCGGAGTGGTGTTTGCTGCTTTTCTGATTGTGGGCATCCTTTGGTGGATGGTGGGTCTTTTGAGACGGAAGAGTACATTGGAACGAGGTATTTAGACAGGAAAATCAATATATCATGCTAAAACCATAGTAATCAGGGATTTAAACAGTGGTTGCACCATCTTATTTTTCGGGTTTTCAACCTTGCTCCATTGATATTCATCACATCTGATCACAGTATCATATTCCATTCCTTTTTTCTCACCATTTTGGCACGAAATAAGGGACATAATTAAACAATTTTCATAATTCCATTTCAGACAATTGATATCATAAATGTTTCTTATTTGGCTTTACTTTCTTCCACAGATCTAAAAGGTATAGACTTGCAGACAAATTCCTTCAGCTTAAGGCAAATTAAAGCTGCTACAGACGATTTTCATGCTTCTAATAAGATCGGAGAAGGCGGTTTCGGTCCCGTTTACAAGGTACCATGTGCAACACATTCTTTCCTTTTAATTGCAACACTTTCTGCAGTTACATTGTTCATGTTTTTAAACCTGCAAATCATGGTTTCTTTTTTTCATTTCAAATGTAGGGCATTCTGGCAGATGGCACTGTGATTGCTGTGAAGCAGTTATCGACCCGATCAAAGCAAGGAAACCGTGAGTTCGTGACCGAGATGGGCATGATTTCAGCTCTTCAACACCCTCATCTTGTAAAGCTATATGGATGCTGCATAGAAGAAAATCAATTGATGCTTATATACGAGTACCTGGAAAACAACTGCCTTGCTCGTGCATTATTCGGTACAATCTCATCCAAATCATCCTATTCTTCGAACCTCAAATTATCTGTTCTAACATGAATGATCGTATGCCATTATGTATGTATGTATGCATGCATCTGAGCTTCTCTGTATTTTTTGGTGACGAAAAGGGCCACCAGAATTTCAGTTGAAAATAGACTGGGCATCAAGAAAAGAGATCTGCATTGGTATAGCAAAAGGATTAGCTTATCTCCATGAAGAATCAAGGTTGAAGATAGTTCATAGAGACATCAAGGCCACCAATGTCTTGCTTGACAAGAATCTGAACCCGAAAATATCCGACTTCGGTTTGGCCAAGCTTCATGAAGAAGATAATACACACATTAGCACCCGAATTGCAGGAACTTAGTAAGTCACTTTTCAGATTCATTCTCACTGTATTCATTTATTAATCCTCATGTACATAAATGTTCAAGTCATTCTATAAATGGCTGGTTCAGAAAAAAGTTAAAAGCTTTATTCAATTGTTGTTGTTAAATTTGCAGTGGGTATATGGCTCCTGAATACGCAATGCATGGTCGTTTGACAGAGAAAGCAGATGTTTATAGTTTTGGGATTGTGGCCCTTGAAATCGTTAGCGGTAGGTGCAACACTAGAAACCGGCTAATGGAAGAACCTTTCTATCTCCTTGATTGGGTAAATTAATCTCTCATTCTTTTTTCCATCGTTTATACAATTTTTTTTCCCTCTCGGTTTTCAAGGCTTCGCCTTAATTAATTCGGACCGACATGAATCGTACACCTGATTTTGACGAATAAGTCTCCCAACATGAATTTTTTTACATACACAATGACTCAAATTATTTATATATTTCTATATCTGATATTGATTAGTAACTGATCTAGAATTACTTTTTAGGATGAACAATAAAATTTATTAACAACAAATTTTTTTTATATTTAAGGTAAGCGAAGTATCAATTAAATTTTAGGATAGGTACAATAAAAGAATAAAGAACTATTAGGGGAAAAAATCAGATTTCAGGCACCCAAACGTGGCTCCATCAGAGTCGAATTTACGTGGGAGGTGGGAGGGACTATTGCCCCCAACATTGATAGTTTAATTAGTTTTAGGCCTTTAATATTTTAAAAATCATTACAATTAAGTTATTGTTCTTCTCAAAATTTACTACTTTAATTATAGGGTAAACTACGAATGTAGTACTTAAACTATTAGTTTTGATTCGTTTTAGTATCTAAACTTTCAATTTTTTTTCAAAACCATAATTAACATTTAGTTTTCATTTCATTTTAGTACCTTCCGTTAAAACTTAACGCCTTTACTACCTAAACTATCAGTTTTGGTCTGTTTTAATATCTAAATTTTCAATTTTTTCAAAACCTAACGTTGAATTTTGAATGGATGTACTAAAATGAAATAAAAACTAAAGTTTTAATGACTGGGTACTAAAATGAAACAAAAACTAAACTTTGGGTGTGTTTTAAAAAAAATAAAAATTTAGGCACTTAAATGAATCAAAACTGATAATTTAGATACTAAACACGTAATTTACCTTTAATTATATTTTAGTATCCTTCGTTTTAAAATGATATTTCGACTTCTAATTTTTATAGTTTAATTATTCTTTAAGACCATTCAATTTTAAAATTAATGAAATTACATCCTATCGCCTTTAAATTGTATGATTTATTCAATTTTAAGGGCCTATTTATTTTAAAATTAAACAATTTGTCCCCTCATAATCAATCTTAACTCTGTCCATGAGCTTCGCCTTCAACACTGTCACCCATACTTGAAAATCATAGACATGCTTCTAATTAAATGGTTTGTTTTCTAGGCTCATGTTTTGAGGGAGAACGGGAACTTGTTGGACCTAGTCGATACAAGGATCGTGTCAGACTGCAACAAAGATGAAGTGATGACGATGATCAATATTGCTCTCTTATGCACGAATCCCACGGCTTCGGCTAGACCTACAATGTCTTCCGTGGTGAGCGTGCTCGAAGGTAAGGCTTCAGTCGAGGAATTCTTCATATGTTCAAGCGTTTATTCAGGTCGTCAAATGGACGCTGAGACTGAAAATGCTGTATCAGAAACTTGAAGAAGATGATACAGATGTTACCGAAACAAATAGTCTGCAATAACAGTGATAGCCGCTAGTTACCACCACAACCGGGGACGGAATTATTAAGGGCATGGGAGGGGCTGTGCCGCTGTGGCCTACCAATCCAGCAATTTTCTTTTACATTTGATTTATATATAAAGTACACAAATGATCCCTCGGCTATATAGTATTGTTTTATTAACTATTTCAACTATTAAAAGTTACAAAATGGTCATTTGATTATAGAGTGTCAATTTTTTCGTTAAAAAATTGAATGTATTTTGAGTTGAACTTTAACTTATTGACTATAATAGGATAAAATATGATTCCAAAATCTCAAACAACTATCATATCTTAGTCATTACGCTAACGTCCGACTTAGAAAACCACTATTTTTTAAATAGAAAAAGATGACTTTGGAACATAATGAATTGTCAAATGACTATTCTGTAACTTTCAATAGTCAAGGAACTTAATAAAGTAACATTATATAGTCGGAAGAGTATTTTGTAATTTTTAATAGTTGAGGGGACATAATAAAATAGTACTTTATAGTTTGAGACCATTTGTGTACTTCACCCAAAATTTAATATTTATGAGATAATTATGAAATTGTTCTCTTTAATTTTATAGAATTTATATTTTGCCTCCTTCATATTGAAATCCTCACTCTGTCCCTAATCATAACCACTATGAACACACCTGTCGAAGGTTTTCGAACCCCCTAAGCATTATTTTGTCTAAAGCAAAAATAAACTGTTAATTATCTTTATTTTCAGTTCTTAAAAAATCGTTTTTGCATATGCATAAAATCTTTTTTAATTCTAAACTTGACTTATTTTTTCAGAGCAACCAAACTCTCCAATTAACTGCTTCAATGTAATTGAACGTATAACTCCAACCAACAAACCATTTACTTGCAATATCTAGAGCTTTAACTTCTTGAACTCTAGCCTCTAGGTGGGGGGAAAATAGGCTTAAATGCACCAGTGTCCCCTAAAATATACTATTTGTATCGAGTTGTCCCTTAAAATATTTTTCGGGACGTTTTGCCCCTAAAGTTTAAACGATTATCTCGTTTGTCCCAAATCGTTAACTCCGTTTAAAAATCTAAGGATAATTAAATATTTAGTTATTCAACTATTTCCACAATTCCATTTTATCACCCAACTATTTCTTTTTTACAAAATCATCACTAAAAATAGTCATCTTCTAATTATAAATTTTAAACATGTACATCAAAAGAAACTATCAACATCCTTTTCTAACATCAACTATTTTTTTTCTATTTCCTTGGTAAATTTTCTGTATAATTTTACAACCAATTATACATTTTGCATCAATATCCTTTTTATAGCATGGTGGTAAGTAGTTTTGTCTTGAAGAGGTTTGCTCCTCTAGGCTTTGTAGTTTCCGCAGCACTTTGTTCGTTCCTCCTGTTTTTGTAACTTTTCTAGTGTGTAGAGTGATCCCTGCTTAGTTTTCGTTCACCTAGTTGTGTATACCCTTTTTCTCCACATAGGTGTAGGGAGGGTTTTAATGAGACATACAACTTAAGTTTAAGTAATATTAATAAATTACTTTGTTGAGAAAAAAAAAACATTTTGCTATATTTTTTTTGTTTCAAATAACCTTGAAACCCCTAATTCTAACTCTATTCCAAATTTTCTGCAAGGGCGAATTCCTTCCTCAATATGCAATTTGAGTCTCCTTACGGTTCTCCTTTTATCCAAGAATAGTTTAGATTGAACAATTCCAGAGTGCATCGGAAACTTGAGTTCCACCCTTTCACATATTGAACTACAGTGGAATAATTTTAATGGTAAAATACCAGGAATTTTTGCTAACAGCTGCTCGTTACAAAGTTTACGAATCAACAACAACCAAATAGAAGGGTCAATACCGAGGTCTTTGGGTAATTGTAAAGATTTGAAGCTTTTGGATGTTGGAAACAACTATTTATATGGCACTTTCCCCAGGAAGTTGGGAGATTTGGAGCAGCTACAAGTTCTAATCATGGGATCAAACAGATTCTATGGTCAAGTGGATAGCTTAGGAGCTACAGTTCCCTTCACTCATCTGCGTGTCATCGACCTTTCTAATAATAACCTAAGTGGCTGCTTAACTGTGAAATTTTTTGAAAATTTGCATGCCATTAAAGAAAGGTACGAAAACAAAAGAAAACCAGATTACATGGCATATCCATTAATTGACGAAATGGCATATTATGCGCGAGATGTATCTTTTGCAAAAAGGGTTGGAAACAGAGTTTAAGAAACTATTAACCGTATGGACAACTATTGACTTCTCTAGCAACCAATTCATGGGAGAAATTTCTAAAACAATTGGTGAGCTTCATTTACTTATTGTTTTAAACCTCTCTCATGGCTGTTTAACAGGTCTTACCCTATCATCGATTTGTCAGAACTTGAATCATTAGATCTCTCATCAAACAAACTCCATGGAAGAATTCCGGTAGAGCTAAACAATCTTGGATTCTTGGAGGTGTTAAACCTTTCTCATGATTATCTAGGACACATTCCTCAAGGTAAACAATTTGATACTTTCACTAATGATTCCCACATATGCGGTCTGCCATTATCGAAAGGCAATTGGAAATTTTCGATATTGATGGGATATGGATGTGGGTTGGTGCTGGGACTGAGCATGGGATACATCGTATTCACAATAAGAAAACCGTGTTGGTTCATTATGATCTACGAGAGAGTTGGACAAAGATTAATTTGTAAAAAGATAAAGAAGCGAACTCCTTAACAGATTTTTGTTGAAAAACAAGCAGTGGATATAGAGCAGGAAACTTCGTTGCATTGTGTGTAAAGTCAAGGACGGTGGGCACCGCCTAAATTTCTAAATGAAATTAACAAATTGAAATGTAGGCAGGGTAGGCACCGAATGGTGCAAAATTTCAATGGGTTGGCAGATCATTTGTTGAAAATAATAATGGATAAATCACATTTAACATTGTATTTTAGGGTAATTACAAGATTAGTCCCTAAGTTTCAACTATAAATACCCTAGCTCATTTAGCTTCAAAACCATCCCAAAAATCATTTCTTTCTCCCAATACTAGAGAGCTTTCTTGTGAGTAGTGAGTGTTTTGTAAACACCTGTAAATTTTCTCTCTTAGTAAAAGATCTGCAGCAGTCCGGAGACGTAAGCACAATTGGCTGAACTCCGTTATCAATTTCGGGTATTATTTTTCCGCTTTTATTTCGTATTCTCACTAATCTGACTATAGGGAAATTATTTTTACTTGGTTTATTTCCCAACAACTGGTAATCAGAGCTTTTTGGTTGTGAATTTTGTCAATTTTAGCGAGGTTACTATTCACGTGAATAGTGAATTTTGTAAATAGTAAAATTTTGTCGGCGATACAAATTTGTCGACAGAGGTGTTCTAATACACGGTGGTTCGCAAGAATTGTCAGAAACGATCCAAACGAAAACAGATTCGAGTGGGAGCGATGGCTGCAGACGAAGGGAAGGTGAAAATTGAAAAGTTCGATGGTGCGGACTTTGGCTTTTGGAAGATGCAGATTGAAGATTTTTTGTACCAGAAAAATCTATATCAACCTCTCTCAGGAAAACAACCAGAGGGCATGAAGAATGAAGACTGGGCTCTTCTCGACAGACAAGCCCTCAGAGTTATCCGACTGACGTTATCCCGCAATGTTGCTTTCACCATAGCAAAGGAAAAGACCACGGCGGGTCTTATGACGGCTCTCTCCAGTATGTATGAGAAGCCATCGGCCTCAAACAAAGTTCATTTGATGAGGCGATTATTTAATTTGCGGATGACGGAAGGGGTATCGGTGGCACAACACCTAAATGAACTCAACACAATCACAACCCAGTTGAGTTCAGTGGAAATTGAATTTGATGATGAAGTTCGAACTTTAATTCTCTTATCATCTTTACCAGATAGTTGGAATGCTACTGTTACAGCAGTCAGCAGTTCATCGGGAAACAGCAAATTAAAATTCGACGATGTTCGGGATCTGGTACTGAGCGAAGAAATTCGACGGAGAGAATCGGGTGAAGCATCAACCTCCTCAGCCTTGCACACGGAGTCCAGAGGGAGAACTTCAGAAAGAAATTCAAATCGTGGCAGATCGAAATCCAGAAGGGGAAAATCAAGAACAGGAAATAAAGATTTTACCTGTTATAATTGCGGCAAGAAGGGCCACTTCAAAAGAGATTGCCGAGCACCGAAGAAAAATACCGGCGTATAGGAATCTGCCAACATGACGGAGGAGACAGGTGATGCTATGATTTTAAGCATCAACAGTCCGATTGAATCATGGATTTTGGATTCAGGGGCATCTTTCCACTCCACGCCATGCCAAGAAATCATGGAGAACTATGTCAGTGGTGATTTTGGGAAGGTTCATCTTGCTGATGATGAAACCTTGAAGATCGTCGGAAAAGGAGATATCCGACTAAAGCTGCCAAATCAGACCACATGGAAGCTGACAGGAGTGAGACATATTTATGGTCTCAAAAGAAATTTGATTTCTGTAGGACAGCTTGATGGAGAAGGATACAGTACAACCTTTTCAGGCTGTGAATGGAAGATTACCAAAGGAGCACTCATCATTGCCCGTGGTAAGAAGACTGGTACTCTCTATGTAACCTCAAATTTAGAGAATATCATTGCAGTAGCAGATGTTGATGGAAAATCAAACCTATGGCACCAAAGGCTTGGCCATATGAGCGAGAAAGGAATGAAGATACTTCTGTCAAAAGGGAAGCTGCCGGATCTAAAGAATGTAGATGTCGGACTATGCGAGGATTGCATCTTTGGCAAACAAAAGAAAGTCAGTTTTGCAAAGATTGTCAAGACACCCAAGGAAGAAAGGTTAGAATTGGTTCATACTAATGTATGGGGACCATCCCCAGTTCCATCTCTTGCAAGCTCACTATATTATGTCACCTTCATCGATGATTCAACAAGGAAGGTGTGGGTTTATTTCCTGAAGAAGAAATAAGAAGTCTTCGATAACTTCAGAAAATGGAAGGCCATGGTGGAAAATGAGACTGGTTTAAAAGTCAAGCGGTTGAGGTTTGACAATGGAAGAGAGTACAGAGATAGTAGATTCAGAGATTTCTGCGCAAACAATGGGATCAAGATGGAGACAATAGTTCCCATAACACCGCAGCATAATGGCGTAGCAGAGCGCATGAACAGAACTCTGAATGAACGTGCCAGAAGCATGAGGATACATGCCGGATTGCCCAAATTTCTATGGGCTGAAGCTATCAACACTGCAGCTTACCTGATCAACCGTGGGCCCTCAGTTCTTTTGGATGGTGGAATACCAGAGGAAGCTTGGAGCAAGAAATAAATAAACCTTTCACACCTAAGAGTGTTTGGTTGTATTTCTTATGTACACATAAACTCTGCTGAAAGAAGTAAACTTGATGCCAAGTCCAACAAATGCGTATTTGTTGGTTACGGTGGTGATGAGTTTGGTTACCGGTTTTGGGACTACGAAAATCGGAAGATCATTAGAAGCAGAGACGTCATTTTCAATGAAAATGTGATGTACAAAGACATGTCAACCGTAGAATCAAGTAATACCGAAGCTGAAACAAAGGAATTTGTTGAGTTCGAGGAGATTTCTGGAAATGATGTTCAGATCAGTCCTGAAGCAGTTCAAGAAGAAGAACCAGGCACACCAGAACTGAGACGCTCCTCCAGAATTCCTAAACCAACCCAACGGTATTCTCCTTCTTTGCACTACTTGTTGCTAACTGACAATGGTGAACCAGAGTGCTATGATGAAGCTATGCAAGTGGAGGATTCAGTCAAGTGGGAGTCTTCCATGAAAGATGAGATGGACTCACTAATGTCAAATCAGACGTGGGAATTAGCTGAATTACCACCAGGCAAGAAAGCGCTCCATAACAAGTGGATTTACAGGATCAAAGAAGAGCACGATGGGAGCAAACGCTACAAAGCAAGATTGGTTGTCAAAGGTTTTCAGCAAAAGGAAGGTATTGACTACAATGAAATTTTCTCTCCAGTTGTAAAACTGTTTACAATCAGACTGGTGTTGAAAATTGTAGCTGCAGAAAATTTACATCTTGAGCAGTTAGATGTAAAGACAGCTTTCCTTCATGGTGATTTGGAGGAAGAAATCTATATGAGGCAGCCAAAAGGCTTCATAGAGGCAGGAAACAAAAACCTGGTATGCAAGTTGAAGAAGAGCTTGTATGGTTTAAAACAAGCTCCTAGACAGTGGTACAAGAAGTTCGATAGCTTCATGGGTAGAAATGGTTTTACCAGATGCCAAGCAGATCATTGTTGCTACATCAAGAGGTTCGACAACAGCTTCATTATTTTATTATTGTACGTTGATGACATGCTCGTTGCAGGCTCAGATATGCAATATATTATAAACTTGAAGCAAAAATTGTCGAAGCAGTTTGCTATGAAAGATCTGGGCGATGCAAAGCAGATTCTTGGGATGAGGATCAAAAGAGACACAAATTCGGGGACTTTGATGTTATCACAGGCTGAGTACATCAACAAAGTACTCTCCAGGTTCAACATGCAAGATGCTAAACCAGTAAGTACACCTTTAGGTGTTCATTTCAGACTCTCCAAAGACCAATCACCAAAGACGGAGGAAGAACGTGCACACATGGTGAAGGTTTCGTATGCCTCAGCAATTGGAAGTCTGATGTATGCCATGGTTTGTACCAGACCAGATATTTCTCATGCAGTGGGAGCTGTTAGCAGGTACATGAATAATCCGGGCAAAGTACACTGGGAAGCAGTCAAATGGATCCTCAGATATCTGCGGGGTACCACAAACAAAGCACTTTGTTTCAAAGGTGGAAATACGATACTGACAGGCTATGTAGATGCTGACTTAGCCGAAAATGTTGACATCAGAAGGAGCACTACAGGGTATGTCTATACTCTAAGAGGTACTGCAGTGAGTTGGGTTTCTCAACTACAGAAGATAGTTGCTCTCTCCACAACCGAAGCAGAATATGTCGCTGTTACGGAAGCCAGCAAGGAGATGGTTTGGCTCCAAAGTTTCTTGGAAGAGTTAGGCAAGATACAAGAAAATAATGTATTATATTGCGACAGTCAAAGTGTTATCAATCTAGCAAAAAATCCGTCTTTTCATTCCAGAACGAAGCACATACAATTGAGATATCATTTTATCCGGTCTCTTCTGGAAGATGGGATTTTGAAACTTGAAAAGATTAGTGGTGCTCAAAATCCGGCAGACATGTTGACAAAGACGGTGACCACGGAAAAACTGAAGTTGTGTTCAGCTTCAGTTGGCATACTAGAATAACGAGACCAGAAATGCTGCTGCATTGATCAAGGTGTGAAGACAGATTAAAATCAGTCTTCAAGTGGGAGATTGTAAAGTCAAGGACGGTGGGCATCGCCTAAATTTCTAAATGAAATTAACAAATTGAAATGTAGGCAGGGTAGGCACCGAATGGTGCAAAATTTCAATGGGTTGGCAGATCATTTGTTGAAAATAATAATGGATAAATCACATTTAGACATTGTATTTTAGGGTAATTACAAGATTAGTCCCTAAGTTTCAACTATAAATACCCTAGCTCATTTAGCTTCAAAACCATCCCAAAAATCATTTCTTTCTCCCAATACTAGAGAGCTTTCTTGTGAGTAGTGAGTGTTTTGTAAACACCTGTAAATTTTCTCTCTTAGTAAAAGATCTGCAGCAGTCCAGAGACGTAAGCACAATTGGCTGAACTCCGTTA